CCGCTTCTCTGTTTATTCGGAGTCGCGTCCAGTTAGTTGCCTTGTGCGCATTAAAAACATGATAGTAAGCAAATACCTTCGAGCCTAACGCGAAAAAAGCTAATCGATGTACTTGTATTGATTGAGTCGTATCCACATGCCGGCCGGGTGCGGACAATGAATAGTGAAGATGAAAGGCTACATGATTGATTGGCTGAAATTAGCAGCTCTTCCATGCTGCTCCAGAGGCAGCTTTTTGTCACTCGTCGACGTCCGACCAATTTTTCCGTGTAAATATTTATACGTTCAAGGTGGTCGATCTGCAGAATCCGCTAGTCACTGGTTTGGCTAGCCGAAGCAACTTCACAGTCGATTATTGTAATATTATTTCCTCGCAATAAAGAACTAATAAAATGTAACCACAATCATCGTTAAAATACGTTCAAATTATAGTAGCATAACGCAAGAAAATCACTGGTATTTGATCTTACATTGAATCAAAATTGCGCTAGCTGAAATCGAATCAACGCACAAGGTTATTTATTATTGTATATATTACCGGTACACGTTACTTAATAAAATTGAATGCAACCGTCGAAAGTGAAAACAAAATCAAATTCGATGCTCAAATTACGGTAATCTGCAATTGAAGAGTTAATAACAAATCATGCGTTTCGCCAGCGCGGCATATTGGGTCCCGATGTAGGAATGTTACCATTGTCTACGATTATTGCGGCGCGTATGCGCATTCCCCAGCGATGCCATCAATTCTTTTAGAAGTTAGATTTATACGCAATTGAGGTGGCAATTGAGGAAGAAATCTAAAATCAATATGCGACCGAACAAGTGTTATTTGCATCGCATTCTGCGTTCAAACTAGTACTTTACGGTTATCTGCCGCTATTATCTTTATTCAGAGAGGTGAAATTATGAAATGCATTAAATGTATTCAATTATTTTATTGTTGTGTATTCGCAACATCGATCTGCACACGGCAGTAAATATCATGCATTCATCTTACACACACACACACACACACAACATTTTTGTGGGTTTAAAGACATTTGAGCATTAATCCGTAAGTTTAATGCAGAAAGCTATTGATATTTCATTTATCAAATTCATCCGTATCAAATTAGACCTATTTAATCAGTAATACCTATATTCATATCTAACTGAATTTAATTTAATCATATCACACCCGCTCCATTACAAATTATAATCATCATCTCTAAGTAGTCAATTGCAAGTTCACAAACAATGTGCTTATTACAATGAAACTATTGATATAAAATTATTTGAGCTCAGTAATTATTACAATTTGTTCAAACATACGTTCATTATTAGATAACTGTTAAAACGTAATTCACCAAAATTTGTTTCATTAACTTCTTGAACTGCAATTTAATCTTTTTTCAAATCATATTGATCAAATTGATTGTTTCTCTAGTTTTTTACCTTATTTTCAATATTTTAATTAAATAATTTTGCAGCTTAATTATTTCAAGTTGAAATTTGGGAATACTATGATACTAGATAATTTACTTTTTAACTCCACACGAATAATTAAAAACCAAAAGAATTGATACACTTTTTAAAAGTAAAACAATTATTACGTGCAGCGCAAAACCGAAACAAATCCGAATGCATTGCGGAGGAGGCAAAAAGCGCAAGTGCACTTTTAAGTCTTCATATCATCGTCTGAGCGCACACGGCGCGAGTATGTGAACGGCCGAGGAAAGAAATGAAAGAAGTTGCAACAGTTAACAAGTTCATCCACCTTTTTACGATAGATTAAAATCTATAACTCTTATTTTCTTATAGCTAAACTAGAAAATTACTCTGGCCGGGTATCGTAGTACGAACATTGCACAGGTACGCCGCGCAATGAACACCACGTACGAGCTCGTACGGGTGTATATGAGCAATCCGAGCGGAAGACCTGCGAGTCTCAGTTTTCTGTGGTGTCTTCCGTCCGAGCGCGAAGTGCGCGATGTGCGATGGATGGATATATTTTAAGGTCTGCTGATTCGCTCCGTACACCATTAAGTCTTTGGTATATCTCCATTTTTCCTCGGCTGGCTCGTCTTTTTTTCTGCTCCTTTCATTAAGTTCGCCGGCTGTATTACCGCATCACTACCACCAATCGCATCGTGTTTTCTTCGCACTCTACGATTCTCTACCTTTCATGCGTCGTAGTCGTTTGTAAAACAATCTTTAATGATATGTACTCGTCTCGGACGTTAATGAGTTGACAATAAAACTCACATCGACGTCATGGAGCCAACTCCAAATTAATTGCGGCGCTAAATTGACGAGTGCAAAGTTGTGTTCGCGTACGAACATCCACACAACACAGTGCGCCCATCTTCCAACACGCACACTAAATCATAGCCCTGTCTTTATACTAACGTTCCGAGGCACTGGTACAGAAAGTGAGAGTCTACTTTGTTTGGAATTAGCAAGCGCGTAGTTGCGATCGTGTACGCGGAACAAGTCCATCTGAAAATCGCGCGCAGTGCAGATTTAATGACGTTGAATTTACATCGCATCAAAGCCGCGTTGTAGCCAGCCGCAAGAAGTTCGAACTGAAAAAAATACATGCGCGATGCATCCACATTGCATCGTGTGTCGATTATCGCAAAGTGCAGTTAAATAAATAATAAATAAATAACTGTAAAGCGTTGCCAGTTGTTAACTAACTCAAACCAGGCGCAAGCACACAGACGCAGGCACCTTAAGTCATCAATGTGAAAATATTGTGTTCTTCATACTGAACTCGTGCGTGCCGAGTGCAATGCAACGGTACAACACAACTTTTAAATGTTGTTTTTCCTAAACTTTTACGCGATGCTTTGAACACTTGATTGCTCGTCATCAGTCCAGCTGTGCATCTGTTTGCGTATAAATAATTCTAATTGCGTACTCGGTCAAAAGTTGAAAAATGTGGAGAAATTTCCGAAAGATATAATGTTCTTGTTGATGCGCTGATTCAACACATTTCACATGGCAAATTAGGGTTTTGCGGTCGTCGCACTAAACCTTAACAGCAAAATTTCCAGCATGAACAATATATGAAAAACTCAGGACGCAAAATAGTCACAATGTTGAATGTACACATTCCATATATGCGTGCTTGTGCTCCTTTGGGCGACCATACATGAAATGAGCGCGGCCTACGACACCCTACATCTACAGCTATTGGTATTTCTTACATTGCTGAGGTAAAGACTGAAGTCACACTCAGCTACTAAGGTCGGCAAGGAAAACTTAACAAAGTTGAATAAAATTCGTGTCGCTGTGAGTTTCATTCATGTTTTTTTATTGGCATTCAATGGTTTTTATTGGGGACCTAGTTCTACTGTTAATATTATTATTAAAAACAATTAGTTCGTAATATTCATGCACAACGACCGAAATAAATTAAATATCTGCTGGTTGACATCAGGTATGGAAAATAGTACTTTTAAACACTTTTTTTTTCTATTACCCGTTCCACTTGCCAGTAGAAGTTCTATTAATAATACCCGACTAGAGAAATTTCCAACTTCGTAGAAATTTAATCTTAAAAATTGCAAAATTAATAAATAATTTTTATCGCCATCAAGGATCACCTCGCACATTAATATCAATTAAGGCAGTCACGGCGCAAAAGGAAGAGGTTGCGTTAACATTTTCAATAAATTTTAAATTAAATTTCGGTGTACGCGAACGAAAAGACATAATTTATTGGGTGCCGGCACATAGAATTACTATCGACACCTTATTATTGTTTATTGCTTTACTTACCGACCGAAATATTGTGTATATACCGAGTGTTTACCAACCACACATAATATCATGATCAATGCTTAGAAATTCGATATATCTTCTGGCCTCACACGTTTTACGAGAGAGATTACTAGTTATTACTAGTACTTACGTGCGTGCATCTGTTACGTTACGTTGATTTATTAATTTCTGCGATTCGCCTATCGCGCTTTTTCGCCACACCGCGTAATTTATTTGATACAAAAAGCAATTTATTTAGCGCATAAATAGCGAAGCAATCGTAATTGTGAATAATGAACGAATACATTAAACAAATCTATTAAAAATCAATTCCGATTTAATGTAGTATCTCACTAATGTCGATGGTCGTGTTTGGGCTCGTGTGTTGAATTATTAATTTCAAATTTAAATTGTAATCATCTACGCGGTAACACAAAGCCAAGATACAAATAGCGCAACGTGATCTCCAATCCGGGCCTGCGAATTAGACTCCATAATTATGAATAATCATAAGCCGTGTCCTTGGTGCGGTAATTGTTTAGAGACCTTGGTACACAAAACTTACGTAATAAGCTACGACGAAGAGACTGCGCCTCGATAGCATTGTTTTCTTGTTGTTGGCAATTCAGACGAGAAGGAAAGGTCCAACATACAACGTGAGTGCCACGAACAGAACACCGTTGCACTGCTCGCGCCGGAAAACGGATATTAGAGAGTAATTTATTTAATTACGACAAACTGCTTTTGGTCTCCAAACAAAAATCCTCCAGACGCGTCCTACCAATGCAAGTACACCAACGAATTCATCGAAGGTTAGTCTGTGATAAGGTTGGTGAGTCGTGCGACTTAAAAAGAAATGTTTATTTAGCTGCGCGCGAACAGGACTAAGCACGCGATGCGTTTTTCCTATTTTACTGTTAGCTATTGCAATGTGTGCAGATGTGCGCTTCTCGCCTAGCCGGGAAGAAGTTTAACACGCTTCGACGCTCATCCTGTGCCGCGCATCCATCTGCGCGATCCACAATCCGCGAGTCCAGCCAGATGAACAATTCGCTTCGCGTGAGTCGCGCTCGAGTTATTCCGCGCGGCGTGGTTCTATTCATCTGCTCTCATCAGGCCAGCTCAACATTTGTTGTCCGCACACCAGCGTGCAACCAAGGGCCCACCAACATCAGCATTACATATTTAATAACTTGCAATGACTCAATCTACTATTTGCGAATAGTAAGAAGAAAATCTGGGTCACTTACTTTTGATGTGTCCATTGGCGGCCTTCGCATGCCCGTTCTGGATGTAGTGCGGTGTGTGCCCGTTCTGATGGGCATACCCATTGCTCTGGTGGTGCTGCGTGTGCTGGACGCCGCCTCCGTGCAGCAGATGGCCGTTGGTGTGTGCATGTGCGTGTCCACCCGGCATCTTCGCGCATTCGCTAAATTCACTTCAATGCGGCAATTAGTCAAGCAATTACTAATGGTGACGAAGGCCGCATCGTTCTAGTGTCGTGCTGTGCCAAGTGCTCCTCACCGAGTGAAACCCATTCTGGCCGCTCTCTATCTGCACGAAAAAAATAAATAATGCCAATTAAAAGAATACTCGTGAAAATGACAGATTTGTCAACGTTTTTAAGTTAATTGCGCATGTTTTCTAAACTCTGTAAACTCTCTATATGTATAATCTGAATATGAAGATTTCTTCTTCACCACGGAGTATTTCCGCATTTGTCGTAGAAGTTTACCGCGGTTCGCATCGTGCGTAGTACATTTTCAATTACCGTAAAATTATAGGCGGAAACGCTACACCGCTGCACCGCTAAATCAATTATCAACACGCTGGAGACGAACGTTTAAGTCGCGGTACAGAACGAACTTCATGAGCGCACCGAGCAGAATGTAATGAACGGGAATACGAACGTGCGCGTACGACATCAGCTGCGAAAAACAAGGAAAATTGATAATAAATTAGAGGCACCGCTAGGCGACGTGTAATAAATTTGCGATGTTGCACAAACAACGCTGAAGAAGTGCACTAAGATTCTCAATTTCCAATTCGCGATGCCGAATTTGAAATTCTATGTCAGTGTGCTTCCGCCAATGACACTGTGACATTGATAACTTTTTGTGTATTCGGCGTGCGCGCTCGTTAATTATTTTTGAACGTAATTGCAGAGAGTTGGCGAACGCAACGCGAACGCCAATTACACTCGCGTGCAAATAAATGCATACAAGTCGAAAACGCAAGTGCGCACGACCAGCCGCGCATGCAATTCAACAAGTTCAGTTCATCAGATGATGGGCTTATTGTTTTTCAACTAAGCAAAGTATTATCTTAAAAACACTTGCCAATCATGTAATATACCCGAGACTTAACGTCGCACATTATTATTAGTTAAATACAAAAAAGTATCATCAAGCCATTCATAAAAGTTATATGTTTGTTATTTGCACGTTTAACGACGAAAATCGGTTATAAAAATTATTGAATTGCACATGGAGTTGAAGTGTGTATGCGTGGGTGGGTGCGCGTGTGTGTATTTGGATGTGCATATGTCACCATAATAAAGAAACAAAACTTACTTATAAACAATATGAATAATTAAAACACTGTCCTTGACTTGTTGTTTTAACGTCGCAAACAGTGATATGCACGAACAACAAATTTTACACAAGGTTCAAAGCGCACACTTTCCTTAAAAATGTTGCCACAAAAACAATTATCTTGTTTTAGAACATGTTCATCTCGCTATATATTTCGAGAGCGTGAAAACTGGAATGACGCGTGAACAAATAGTTCGCAGGACTGCGCGAGCCAGCCGCTCGACGTTTACTGCGTCAAGTGGCGGTGCAAACTCGCGTGCAAACTTCCGACTTGGGCGAGAGTTTGAAACTTCGCAGCTCGCGTTTTTGCAGCGCGGGAGCGCCGACGTACAAGTGTGGCAAGAAGCGTCCGACGCAGAATCTATCGACGGACTAAACTTTTCTCTTCGCGCGCGACGCACGAGACTGCCGTTGCGAGACCGATGGCTTCTTCGCCTCGGCCGCGAGCACACTCTCGTAGAAATCGCGCTATGCTGCGATAGCCGCGTAGAAGGCCCACAGCCCCTGTGTGAGGCTCGCATGACGCGTGCCGCTTTTCTCACGTTTTGGTCTATGGAAAATTGTTGGCCAAATGCGCTTCGAGTTGTTGAGTGTCACAAGTATTTTGCAAGCATAAAGCGGTAATTTAGATTCGAAAGTAAATTGTAGTAGTATTATTGAGTTGAGTTGAGTACTTAAAAACCTGGAAAATTTATTAATCATCAACGTACAGGAAACCCATTTGCCTAAATGAGGGAATAGTAGCAAAAGGATTTGCAGCGTACTTTAATTCACTCGATCCAGAAGAAAGGTAGCAGAAAAGATGGTGACCACTATCATGGACAAAGTCTACATTGTCGCACAGTTGACTCTTCGGATGTGTTATAAAAAGGAAGGTAGATACACAAAGAAAGAACAGCGAAGTGATGTTGGAGCTGGCAGGTCTAATTTTAATTTGATTATTAAATTACTTTAATTTAGTACTTGTGGTGGGACGCTTCATCCGAGATTTATTTATCAACAAAATCTCCACTTCCATCAGGCAGTTGTTTGTTTTGCGGATCTGGCTTAGAGACACAAAGTACATTGTAAAAATAAATTAATTTCTTAAAATCGTTAAATAAAAATTGTTTCAGCATTCATTAAACTTAATAAGAATTCAATTCTAAATGTTCATTGTGACTTGTCCTGCACAGGAGCTCCGTGCGCAACTTTTTTTTACGAATTTTACATCTCCTTTGCACAAAATATTACTATACTTATAATTTTTAACGTCTTCAGAAAATTGTTGCCATGGTAAAGTGAAACAAAGTTATAGAGTACCTATGAATCAGTGCAATTTTTATTAAAAGAGTTATTATTTATAATGTTTATTGCTCTAGTTTTTGAGAAAAAAAAAAGATTATGACTGCATTAGTAAAGATACTATTGAACCAAAGAGGCACTAATTCCCTATTTTTTCGGCATAATGGCATTGAAAGATTTCCAGTATTTTAAAATTTCTTCAAATTATAAAGATTTTCTATTGTTCAGTACTACCCATCTCGGTGGTTTTGAAATACTTGTAAAGTATCTCATAAAATAATATTAATTGTTCTTGACAGTCTAGTCTCTAGTATGTAAACAAACGTCATAGATTTTAGTCGCAAAGGTGAGTGCATAAACTAAACAAAAATTAAGCAATAACAATATTTTAAAAACAAAAGCAATAATAAAATTTACGGTTATCAATGTTTTCAGCTTTACATTAGTAAAGCTAAATAATTTTAAATTTTAAATAAAAACAACAAATAATTAAAGTAATGTTTTAAAGTAATGAAAGTAATGAAATAGTTGAGTGGTAAATATTGTTAGCCAATTCTTTTTTTTAACTGAATTTAGTGTATTGTGTGGCAAATTTTTACAATGATTTTATTATACGCAACCCAATATGCAACTAGTTTGCGGTTTGTCCGACAGATGAATTCCTGTTTGTGAAGTGACTACACAGCTATAATTAAAATGGCGCACATACAGTAGACAAAACCGTTGTAACATGTGCTTCTGGTTCGCTTGAATTCCTCCTACCAAAAGAAAACGGGTAAGTATTCCCTGTGGCAATTGACGTGGTTTGCCATTCACACCACCGCGAACCAAGCACTATCAAAATTTCTGGTCGACATTTATCGCATCGGCGAAAATCTCCATCTCAAATGGAGACCACGAGGTCCGGCAGGGAAGCCGATGTGGGCGCAGGGCTACGGCATAACGACTTGCCGTCGACGATCACGCAAGACTTACAATCGCTAGACAGCAATGAAAATGCACAGATCTCCACCGATGCCGACAACACCGGGAGTGCGCTCGATGTGGCTAACTACATTGATGAAGACTATATCTTGGCCCCATCTCCCACTTCCTACTGCACTGTGGAAGTGCCTTTTGAGTATGAAGATAACACAGACAACCCAGTTAGAGGCAGCACAAACAACCAGGATGGAGATAGCACAGACAACCAGGATGGAGGCAACACAGACAATCTAGATGAAGGCAGCCCAGACAATCTGGATGAAGGTAGTGTCAACAAACTGCGTGCATTTGTTGAGTATTTGGATTCAGACTGCTCAGCAGATTCTGATAATGCCAGAGATACTGAGGAGACATTCAGTAACAATGAGTCTACTAAGGACACACTGCATGATACTTTAAAACATCTTGGTGAATTGAGTATTGATGAATTGCCACCAGTGGAACACAATCATGTGGAAGTTAAGCCAGAGGAGTGTGACCTTATTGGCAAAGTTGGCATGTCCCTGGGAAAACTAGGTAAGGAGCAAATCTTTATATTTAATTTATGAAAGTGAGGTTAATTGTACACTGTTTTTATTACAGTTCTTGTTGAGACCATTCCAAACAAACCAGCATTGGACATTGACACACTGTTATTCTTGGACACAGGCAAACGGCCGCTCGGGCTTATTTTTGATGTGATCGGACCTGTCACACATCCTTTATATGCCATCAGGTTCAATACTGAGGATGAGATCAAGGCTCTTAATTTGAAGGAAGGCATGAGTGTGTATTGTGCTCCAAATACTGAGTATACACATTATGTGTTTGTGCAACAACTTCTAAAGTAAGTGCACTGATTACATTTCGGCTAATGCTTTTTATTATAAACTTGTGCACACTTCCACACCTACACTCACATTCTGCTATCATTTAGGTGCTATTAGTAAATACATAGTCGTAGTTTGTTTCGCTTTCCATTCGTATTAATGTAAGTTGACACACAATTGCGACACAGCAGCATGAAAGACGCAGTATCTGTAAGACTAAGCGATCGTGTTTACAGGCAGAAGGGTAGCGATGCATCTTGGAAGAACGACATGGAAGTGCCACAGGAACTGATGGATTATTCTGACGATGAGGCTGAGTCAGGCTTGTCTGAACTCCCAGAGAACCGTAAACGTGGCAGTCTGGAGCGGCATCGACAATTTGAAGAGGATATGAATCTGCGCAATGTTATTAACACGCACATACATCTGTTACAAGATCGGGGTCCACAGCATCGCGGCTCAAGCAGAACCAGCAGCGGCGGAGTTGGCCGAGGCTCCAACACCGCCCGGGTAGGCAATTGCACACACAGCCGTGGTTCAGGCAAGTCGGCGCGTACGCCTGGCTCCAGTTTTCCGCATCTCACACCACCACCGCAGCCCCCGCAACCTGCTGCCTTCCACACGGCCGCTGCTGCCGCTGCCGCGGTTTCACACTGTGCCTACCATCAACCGCCGTACAGCCTTGCCCCCTACAGTATGCCGCCACCATTGACGCCGTATATACCGATGTTTATGCCGAGCATTCCGCCAATGCAATTCACCGGGCCACCGCCGCCGCACGTGTTCGGCGGGATGCAGCAGACCAAATCGGCGACGGTGGGACCTACCCCCGCGCCGATGGTGTACCCGCCCGACATGGGCCTGCCGCCAGTCCAACAGAATCCACCACTAGTTCCTAACATGCAATACTTCAATCCACCATTGATGTGGGGCAATTTCGCTACACAGCCACCACCTCCGCCTCCTGCTCAGCAGCCGGTGAACAGCGCTACCGGTAATGACATGCACGCACCTAAGAAGTTCCACCGAATGCATCGTCAATAATTTCTCATACCACACACCTCAATCACCTTTGAGATGAATGTTATATTTATTTGTTATTTTTTTCTTCATTTCCGTTTTAATTCAACAATTTTTGACACTTTTATTTAACCAGTATTATTAAGATAGCAGTACAAGGCCAGTTTTAAAGTTTTTCATAAGGATCAGAATGATCTTTTATTTTAGATTTATATTTTGGTTTAAAATTTCATTTACTTTTAAATTATTCTTGCATTCGATAGGGAATGATACATAATCCAATACGTTTTGTGATAGATATTGAAACGGGACACATAAAAATTAGCAATAACACTTTAATATGATTATACACCTAGGCATCTTTGAAAACTACATTAATACTACTCGTACATATGTATTTTAATGACTTGATTGGTGGTTTTGGATATATGTGGTGTACTTGTAACTTTTAACTCTATAACTGTAAGCGTTCATTATCTGCAAACGTTTTGAAACGTGAGGAACGTGCAATGTTTAGTACAAATTGCAGCCCGTGTTCAGTCTAAAAGTCAAAGAACAGTTTATTCAATCCATTCACCGAACAAAGCTCACAGATTTTTTTAAAATTCCGTTAATATGTCTTCTTACCTTTACAGACATTGAGCATTCCTGATCACGGTCCGAATGTTTCTTTGCCGAGTGTTTATTACTCAAACTGCAAAACATAGTCTTGATGTTTCTCGATTGAACGAATGAGCGATGGTGTAGCTGCATAGAACTTCGAATCGATATTTAATCAGATGTTTATATAGAAAGTTGAGTGATCAGATAGACTCTATTCTAATATGTATTTAATCATAATAGGCATACACAAATAATCGAAAGTTATAAATGTTCCTTTTTCTACATACCTTCTATTTATAAAACAAACTGAATCAACAATGTGCGTTTGCAATTGCAATTCTTACTTAACCAAACGCCTAAATATGTGCGTACACATAATCGATATATTTTGTTACCAAAAGTTAATTACAAATTTGCAAATTCTTATTACAATTTCAATACCGTCACTTTCACAATTCCTTCCTTCCTTTTCCTACAATACATTAAGTCTTTTTTTCAGGCGATGAACTCCAGAGACGTCACTCTGCGCATTGAAGACATGTGCCATTTGAGAAATATTCAAAGTTTTGTAAGAATTACACGGATATAACGAAATTTTAATTGAAGTTTTTGTTCTCATTCCTTTCTTCCTTTATTTACAATAGTAGGGAGCTTAGGTACTTACCTTCATGAAAAATCTGCTGAATCTGGCTGAACTTGAAATTGATTCACCACTGAATTAACTGTGTTCACAACCAAATGAAAACAGTACTAAACAAAACACCATAAATAACATCTGGTTAGGTTTCATGTTAATCTGTCTTTGCAATATCACTAAATCTAATGGAGATAGGAGTTAGTTTTGATAGTACTTAATTTTAATAAAATCGAAGTTCCTGACTAGATCCCATTTAAAGTCTCTTCATACACTACACTAGATAGAATAAAACGCTGATTCTATCGTAATTTTTATTTTCTATTCAAGTCCTCCTTTAAATTACACAAACATTTAATTTCTTTACTTAATAAAAATGGTTTAGTAAGGTTGAGTTCTTCACGTTTCCACTATTAAGATTAGGAGAAGTAGAAGTAAATCAAGTTATCACGTATGTTTCTTTTTGCAACCTTGGCCAAGGTGGCCGTAAGATCAGACAGTCGACTTGTTTGCATTGCGCCTGAATCGGATCAGACAGTTGAATTGCATTCAAATGTTTAAACAATCTCGCTTTGCTCGCATGAACCGTGAATTAAATAAGTAATAAATAACACATAAAAACGAATGGAATCTAAACAATAATCTAGTCGTAATTGTTGTGTTGCGCTGCTCCATTCTATCGCTACAAAAATTCACTAAAATGTCGCCGATTAATTTTAATCTTTATACAATTAGTTTGTATTCTTGTTTGTTTTCATTTCGCCTAAATGTAGTTACTTGTTTATTATTTTGTAATATTGGATCGGATCACGTACAATATGCAATTACATAGTATGAAGTAACTTATTTGTTAAATTAGTGATAATTAGGGTACATTTGCATCGCGTTCGCATCGATTTGCTCTAGCTTCGTGAACAAAAATTCGAAGAGCTACAAAAGTCGTTCGAGCGGGTGGTGGGTGTCGGAGTGCAGGCTGGTCGGGGGCTCCCTTCTCCGGCTATCGATGGCCGGTGTCCAGTGCGGGTGCTAACTTTTGCATGAACATGCGTTCAACCACCGTCGCTTTGTAATCAAATCGTTTACATGTGTACTTATTTATGGCACGGTATTAAACTACCCATCGCTTTCCTTGCAATTATCAATAATTAATTCATTCATTAATAATAGTTCTTTCTTTACTGATTATTATATTAATATGTTCGCTAGTCTAAGAATATTCATCTTAATGTTCTATGCCGTTTCGCCCTTCGCTCACTTCTCAATCAATGCCATCACCACTCATATGTTCAAATGCTCAAATTTCAACTCGTAGTAAACAATTAATTTATTATCCTAGTGATTATTTCAACGCCGTGGAAACAATTTTCGGTTCTTGGGTGCGCAAAGAAGTCGAACATGCATAGGAAATCGTATTGTCTTTGATGGAAGGACGATGGTCAGGTGCCAGGAGGCTCCTGGCCGCCGCCCCGAGCGAGACAGTGAAACCGTGGTATGTGAAACTAAAAGTCACACGAAATTTCATTCGGCTGCTATTAGCTTGCTTTTTTTTTTGTATTTCAAGTCGGCATATTAATGTAATGTATGAAAAATATTGCTTCGGCTCTTAGTTTTTACTTTACTTGTATGCATTAGTTTATGTTAGCTTAAAACTCTTCTCCCATTTGTATGCATGCAATCTCATCATCATAGCGCCACAAATACAAAATGTTTCTTTTTAATTATAAATTACTCATTACACAGTACACTTGAATAACTTATCGATAATTGTAATCATGTAATAATCATGCCATCGTCATGCAAACGCGCGAAATCAAACCACAAGTAAATTGCACTTATTGCAACCATGTCTTGTAATTGTAATCTAAGTTTCAATTGATCGCCTCCTAACTGGCTAAAGTACACAAACAACATTTGCTTTCATCATCATTATTATCATCATACACGTGAATCATAGCGCTAGACACCATCTTCACACCCTCAGCAATGAATCAATTTATACATGTACCTCCAAAAGTATGCAGCCAGAATTAATTTATCTTATCATATATATCTTATTTTTAAATAATCCAGTATAACGTTTTTATTAATATCACACATATGGATTAAGAATGTTCATCTTTCATTCGTTAGCTATGCTTAACGTTTTGTGTCCATTGCATCTGTATATTTTACAATAGATTTATGCTTTAATAATGTTCATGTTTCACACTATATTTTATTTATATTCACATACAAATTGCAATATGATGTCTGGTTTGTGTGTCGCCGTTCCGCCCGTGTATGACGGCGAAACGTGGCATTATTATCGTCATCAATATATTTGTTAATTACCGGTAGCCAATCAGCATGCTAGCGACGGCGCCAGCGGAGCGTGGCGTGCCTCCCGAAACTAGTTCGTAATTGATCAATGCGATTGTATGTGTTAAGTTAATTGAAAAGGACCCGTGTTGAAGTGTATCGTTAACTTTGTTTTGTTTAATGCTAAAGAACTCTCGGCCGTCGTCGTCGTCTTTCCGTGTACGCTTAATTATGTAACCGTGCACGTCCTCGCGCGTCGTCATTGCCTTTTCATGATTGTAACTTGTATGTAATGCTCGCTTAAATATTTTTTAAATGTGAATCTCTCGCACTCCCTTCCGACTCGCTCTCTCTGTTAGTGTCTAATGCTACTTATGTATGTACTCGTAGTTCTTAACGGCTGCTGCATATAGCGCTTCTCAGACTAGTCGTAATTGCAACTTGTGCTCAAATCAGACCCTGAAAACACACCAGAACAATCTGAATTACTAGTGAACAATTAACGTTAGCGTTAACCAGCTTACCTGGTCTACCGTAAGTTGTCGGTGCCGTTCGGCTCGGAGCCTGAGGCAGGGCTAGGCTGCGATGAAGACGAGGCTCGCGTGTTGTGGGAGCTCTCGTACTCCATGACTTCTTGGTAGATCAGCTCCTTCCACTGCTCCACGGTGTGCTCTCGCTCATCAACACTATGGTCATATGAAGCCGGCGCAGGCTGCAATCAGATAATAATATGTTTCACATTGTCCTTTAAGATATGGTATCATCTATTGCTTACCGCGTTCACCTCCTGTTCATCATACCACACATTGATGTAGGGATGGAGCAGAGCGTCGTCGACGGATATTCGCCGCTCAGGATCGATGACCAGCATTCGCGAAAGGAGGTCGCGCGCCTGGCTGGCTTTCAGTCTATTGTGCTCGCTGCTGTCGGATGGAAACAGAAGATCAGGGAAGAGCTTCTCAAACGGATAGCCGGAGTAGCGCGGGCGGTTCTCCACGTAGTTGCGCACGGTCGGCTGCAAGCGCACCATGAACTGTGGCGAAGGCGTCCCCAGTTGTTCTAGGCAGGCCGTCAAACGTTAGAAATGTTCACAAACTGTAAGGTAAATAGTTACCAATAATCTTGTTCCACTGATCGATGTGATCTGTGCCCGGGAACAACACTCCTCCTCGAATCATCTCGCCCATGATGCAACCAACGGACCAAATGTCGACGTTTTCCGTGTAGCCCATGCCGAGGATAACCTCGGGCGCGCGGTAATACCTGGTGACAACGTAGGGCGTCATCATGAACGTCGTGCCCGCCGTCCGCGCTAATCCAAAGTCCAATATCTTTAGCGTACAGTCCGATTTAACTACAATATTGCTTGGTTTCAAGTCCTGCAATGCGACGTAACGCAATTAGCACAACGCACGTATCAACATGAATGGGACGTTCTAAATTAATGGATTTTTGCAAGTGGGAGCCATATAAATTAATGCTGAGTGGTTGCAGGTCCGAGCCAAAATCGCAGCCCAACAGCGCTTACCCTATGAATAATGCCGGCTAAATGTAAATGCTTAATGCCGCACAACATCTGATAGAGCAGGTAGCTCATCCGTTCGTGGTCCAGGTCCATTTGGATCACCTGGCACAGATTGGCGTCCATTAGTTCCATGACTAGGTACACATCTTGGAATTCTTCGAGGGACTTCTGGGGCGTGAACGCGTTCAGCAGTCCAATTATCTAAAACATCATTACCGTTGTATACTCTTCTTTGACAAAATACAGTGAAAGCACACAAATACGCGCGAGAGTCGAGGAGTTTGACGCGGCTGCCACTGCAGAAAATGTGAATTGATGGGAACAGTAAACAAAAATAAATCCAAAGACAAATGCGATGGAAGAAGAAATAAATGTTTGCACATGTGTCCGCGACGCAGCGGAGCAAATGTTCATGTCGCACGGTGGAGATAACAACGTTCCAACCGCTTGCTCGCGCAGCCAGCCCCGTGATAGAACGTCGTATTATGTGACTCAATGGGTTGGAATATCGCAGTTTGCGAGAGTCAATGTGTCGTGCTAAAGGGTTTCGCTGGTAACAAGCGCGAGTGCTGCGTCAATGAGTTAGTACAGATCCGGAGCATAATTCGCGGGGCGCATCACGGATTGTCGTTAACGTGTATATTTAGTTGCGATGCCATAACATCAACAGTCCTCCAACAATAACATCGCGTTCGGCACCGCGCGACCAAAGAAAGATCAGCATCCGAACGAATTTAGATTTGGCATTGGCATTGCGCTCGCAGGCGTCCCACCCATCGCATCGGAGGGTATAAATACAACGTGTACTTACGTTTTTGTGATTGACTAACTTCATCAGCTTGAATTCTCGGTACGCGCGTTTCGCGTGCGTTACATTTTGGAATGGTCGGCTCAGTTTCTTAATCGCTACATTGTTCTGCGTGACCGTGTCGACGGCGGCACTGAAAATCACACAATAATTAGTACAATCATAGCATATAACATATGGCAAATTGCACACAACAATATTTACAGCAAGTATTTCGCCCTGAAGCTACGCCAAAACCCACTATAATACAGTAACAACTGACAAATCACCTCTTGAATACAACACTACTAACAACGAATCCAACTATACAAAATTCATGCAGTAATTATGTATCAAACTTCATGTTTTTGTGATACTGCATGCCCTCGTTTGGTGTTGTGTGATGCAAGATGTCGTGATTGATGTTTTGATAGACGAATTTATACAGAAAGAAACGAACGAAGTTAGTCGACTTACGCTTCGAGCTGCTGATTTAAGCTTAAGATTGTTAATTTTAGGTAGCCCCCGATAAGAAACCATCACTTACCACACGAGACCCTGGGCGCCGCAGTCCTTTGGTACCAAATTATCGTACCGATCGGGCACCAGGAATTCGGCGTCGGCAAAGACCCAACGTTTGTAATGCTCTTTAATACTCATAGTTTTCAGTCGCGCGCAAGTCGCGCACAAACAATTAAATCACTCGCGATTTCCTTCGCTTCAGCTTTGATTATAATTAATGCTACACGTTCTTTTTTCCTCGTTCGTTTCGCGATCTTTGCTCGATAGGTGAAAACGACTTGCAAATGATCTACACGACGGTGTATCAAGGCTATGATAGTGATACTAGCTCGCAAAAGAAAAACCAACCAAATCAACTAAAAAATACTCAGAATAAAAAACACAATTCTCGGCAATCAGAAAAAAAAAAACAAAATACATTTAATACAAATAAAAGACACACGCGAAATAAAAACAACTTAAATAACTAACTCCAACTTGGTGGAATTAAACTACAGCTACGATTTTTTTAATATTTCGGTGTGTCAAATGTTACTCACCAGACGATTCCTTGGGCGCCAGATCCGATCGGTTTCAGATTCTGGTATCGCTTGAGGATCGTGAATTTCGTGTCGCCCACCTCGACGGTATAGAACAGTTGCGATAATCGGGACATTTTATATCTGGAGTCCCGGAAATTCCACACCGTCGTCTGGAAGCAAGAACAGAACTTATTTAGCACAGGCGCACTGGCATGGACAAGCATGCGGGACTCGATGGCTTTGGACGAATTACGGACACACTTTTGCTGCACATGTGAACACTTAAATCTCAGGCAAGCTCAGCGCACACATTTCCGCCATGTTTTACATCTGATCCGCAGTCTGCAGCATTGACGCATGTTGCGGCAGATTTAGGAGAATTCAAATTGAATTAAAGTAATGTATTTAATACACTTTATTTTTAATGATGGCAAAAGCAAGCAACGCACATTAAAAGTTAATATTGGCCGCTTTCATCCAAGGCATAAAATTGCTTGTTGTTTGCGCAATTTCTCGTTTTCCTTTGAGTCGGAAAAAACCTTTGTACGCCATCTCAATAAAAAATAACAGGTAAAATATTTGTCTTGTCATTGGCGCGTAATTACGTTTTTAACATCCGACTTTTGACGGTCTCGCATTCTCTTTTCGTTGCTGTTTATGGCTGCGCGATACTGTGCAATTACGGAAGCGCTGCTTAATTCAAGCTTTTGAAGAACGAAAAAAGTCAAGAGACAGTATTTTTATTTAACATCAAGAGCAATGTCCATCAGTTGGGCTTTACACCATTACGGTAATGTATAAATGCGTACAAGCAGTAGACGCGTAGATTTCGAGTATGCAAATAAACAATACTCGCCTACTCGGTGCTGCTTTCATGAGCACAAGTACTCATTGTTCCTCGACGATGAGCCGATGGAAATGCAGTTGCAGCAACTAGAAGCATGGTGCATTCAGGGATATCCTGACTTGCGATGCAACGAGATTGAGAAGGATAAGTCAGAGTAACATCATAACGAGTGTTCATATCGTGTTCGCAAAAGTACGTATTTAAAACAATTGCATAAGTAACATGTAATATGATATAATATATAATACATCAAAAAGATAATCACAATTTGAGCGACATTATGGAAAAAAACGAAAGCAAGTGTTTTTTTTTTAAGAAACGATTAACTAAATACGCAAATATTTCTAAATATGTGAGTATTCTGTGCAACACCCTGCAATTCGTTTTGTTTTTAAGTGATTCCGATGCACGATATTATCACGCGAAGTGGCTCTCTCTACGGATCCATTCGTATACGTCCTTATCCAAGCGGAGACCGAGGCAAAAATTCGTAAAACTCTCGCGTCGTTTTCACGTGCGAAACGCAAACATTTGAAGTGACAAGACCGCACAGCGTTGAAAAGCAAATTCTGAAAAATGGCTGATGCAGCGCAAGTCATTAAAACTAATGAGTGCATCACAAATTCTCGACTGGAAAAATCAAAACGCCAAAAAGCGTGCTTTCGGCAGTTTTCAATTATGCAGCGTGCGATTAGTGTTAAGAGTATTGTTAGTCAGTTATTAACACACACTGTGTGGATTAATACCTCCGGGCAAAATTCGTGCAAAACTTTCGCGTCGGGAGCACAAAATATAAACAAAACGCACACACACGAGCGGCGAAACTTACATAATAGTAGCTGCTCATTTTGGCGTCTACTATGTCCCTCTTAACGCAAATCAACTGAATTCAACTGTCTGAACTAAAACAATGAAGAAAACAAAATATAATTGCGAGCTAAATATGCTGGTTATGAATATCTTTCACACATTCAACACCCTAGTAAAAAAGTCAACCGAGTTGGCATCGATTTCGTTCGAGTATTCCGCACGTCACTGTCGCTGCATCACAGCGTCGGTGCCAAATATTGTGAAATACAAAAAAAATCGCGTAGCACATGCGTGTAATCTATGAGCGCGCGAATCTCGTGGAAAAGTGATCAAATGACTATGGCCCCAGCAGGCGTCGTATCCCGATGAATGAAATTGCACTCCGTGGTGATACACATGCGTCGCTCCCGCAATAGCTGCCGGCGCTCGTGTGAAAGACATTAATTAATAACGCAACGCGCTTGTCTAGACGCCAGAGAGCAGCTCATTTAATGTTCGAGCAACTGCACTTAATGTTTGCACTCAGACCCGAAAGGGAATCATCAAAAAATAAAACTAACAATGCCCCCGGATGATTTTGGTCTTTTCTAAATTAACTATTTGCATTAACGTGTGTAAAATGACAGAAATATGCGCGGCAGTTTCGTCTGCAGTATGTGTAAATATTGGCCGCGTTCCACGTAAAAGCCTTTCGACGTCTCGCGGCCATTTCATCTACGGTCAACATTACACAATAGACGCAAAAACACAAGAGCCGCAACATAACACAAATAACGCCAGACGAAAGATGAGCGCTTGATGTCGTCCACGCTTCACCCTCTCACCAGAATGCAAGCAAGTAATGCCGAGAATGACGAGATTGGCGGCCACAAACGAAAAACGACTATGAAATCTAAAAAGAAGATAATTTCTCGGTGAATGTGGTGCCGGACAAGCCGCGTGCACGTTTTTACGTGGCAATCGTGAATGAGACGTTACGTAGAAATTATCTGTATAAAAATGTCCAATCCAATTTAGCTATTTGAATCGTCGCCAAAAGCAGGTAAGTATCAGATTTAAACAACCATAACGTGCGCGTTGGTGATTTGACACTCCCGTCCGTGCCTCGTTTTGATAATACTATTTCTTTTATACCTACTTTAAACCTTCAAACTCTCCCTGCAGGCACAGTATACGTCATAGTGCTAACATTTGTTCATTTTAGAGATTTGTTTTATCGATTCATATATTATAAGGAATAGCATATTTCATCGAACTAATTTCATTCAAAAAACTTTGGTCATGCGCATTCATTATGGAAGACTTGTCTAATTTAGTCACATGGATTAAAATACTGATATTTTGATATGATATGAATGTATAAAAAATTCTTTAAGCATACTTTACATCGACAATTCACAATTCTGTCTGATATTACCTATCCTTTTCTTCTGAGGATATTGAAGTAAGTGGTACGAAACAAACAAGCTTTTTAAAGCTAACAACTTGTTAATCCCCCCACCGCTTGAATTCTTAACAATTTCCAACCAATTTGGGCAGCGTGCAACGCTAAATTTTTTGTTTCACCGAAAAGTACGCTCATTTCTCATGTCGGAGTCTGTTGCGGCATTCCAGCGCGCCCCGCACTCCTAATGCACTATACTGGAGAATACGGTTACAGCGCCAGCAACATGGCGTGTAATTAATGTCAGAACACGAGGGTGGTGAGGAACGAAAATCAAGAAAAAGGCGATCGCGACGAACGGCAAAAAGAAAATCCCCCCCACCGGGGCGCGGCAAAGCTAGCGAAGCGTGAAGCGAGCAACGGTATTAGCAAAAAAATGCGGTCCTTGGCTTTCCGCAGCCTTATTGGATTTTCCCATTTTCGGCACCCGCCTCGAAATAACAGGAATACAGGTTGCGACCCTTCTTCGCAACACCATCGTTTTTCACCTAGTTTTTTGGCAAAGCGGCGTAAACACGAATTGATTGAATAATAAAGCGCCGACTAATTAGATGCGAGTCAGGCGTGCGTCCTGAAAAATGAATGAAAGCAAGATGTGTGCTTACCAAGATCGATCCATCGCTTTAGTGTGAATCGAGTGAAAACGAGGACGGGTCGATGAAATAACACGGATTTTTATGCGCAATGCAACTACAACCGGCAACAGCACAGCTGCTTCGGGTTTCCACCACCACAGCGCTTAATCAATTCGCGGGCAATGAAACGTTACGGAATCTGTAACAGAAAGAAAAGATTCACAAAAAAACTCATCGCATTGTTTTCGTCGAGTTCAAAATCACAACCGGCGCACTGTTTCGCACGGGCTTCGTGCAATTGCTATTGTGGTAGTTGTGTTCTTTAGTTACTGATTTAAATTTCCTTTTCGACATGTGTCGGTGTGATAATGCATTTGCACAAACGCCAAAGCACATCAAGACTCCTGCAGTTATATTTAAGAAGAAAAAAACGCGCTCTTTTTCTCCGGCTAATAACAATGTGAATAAATAATAACATATATAATAAAATCTAATGACAGTGTTAAGAGCATCAGTTAAAAATACGTATTTGCAACTGCAAAACTAAATATTCATCTGCCTGATGATGGTACCTACGCAAAAAACATGTCGCGGTATTTAATAAAAATAGTGATATCCCGTAAAACCTATTTTTTATTATTTAATAAATTTACACCATTCGAGACGTGAGCTTGCTTCAACCGCAATATGCCGACGGACGTTTCTAAGATAAATAATAAATGTTTAGAACGTTATTAGTTGTTTCTTAGTCGTTTTCACGAAGTATAAGACTAACAATTGGGTGTGACTGACCGTAACTGTAGAAAAATAGCCTTTAATACGCTTTTACTGCCCACCAAATATAAAAATATGCTAAACTAGCTAGTAATTTAAATTTTATCAGGTTCATTTTCGCCATTAATCATGACAAAATGATGAAAAATTCACTATCTATATGTGTTTGCATACAATTCATTTCTGCGAATGTATGTAATTTATCTTAATTTTATATCCTCGTTTTTCCTAGACAAGTGGTTTATACTAGTCAGGACAACAGCACAACCACGCCGACCCTATTATTTCCCGACGCGCTGCCCAACGATATTTCTATGAATTTACGAGTAGCACTTTCCAGCAGCCCACAAATAGGGACCATGTATAAAAATACATTTTCCACCACTCGCGATTCGCAGCGGGCGCGGTGAACGGTTGAATCAGTGAAATAATTTAAGTCAAATTTCGCTACTTTGAAGGCTCATAAAATGTGAAAGAATTTTTACAACGCCCGTATCAAAACTCCATCGCTAACAGAAGCGGCAATAAGTACGAAGTACTTACACTGCCGATGTAATAAAGGGTTCGTGTGAAAACTTTTGTTTCACTTTTAGGTGTTTCCCGCACGTACGTGCGCCGCGCGCCGTTTTAACTATTCCGTAATCGACGTAAGAGTGGAAAACACAAGGACTTTCTTAGTGCGTTACCCTCGCGTTCGCATACCGAGCGAACAAACGAGAAACTCGTGGCACACGTGAGGGACGCTAGTACTCGTATACATGTAAGCAGGATCCGTGTCGAAAAACACGAACAGTTGCTTAAGACGCAGTAAACTACTGTGTTGATGGGAATTGGGATTGCACAATGTGCTGGTGCAGTACGCTCTCATTGGCGCAATTAAGCGCCGATAATCCAGCGCGATGGAGCTTTTAAAACTGTCACGCGGTGACATTGATTTTTTTATAAAGCCGATGTAGCTCGACCCAGATAATCGAGCAGCAGCGCGAACAGAAAACGTTGACAACGTGTCACGACCAGTGACACCATCAACCCTGCCAGTTAATGGCGAGTCCATCCAAAACGCAAGAAACCTGTGTGTTGACCCCCGTGAAGATAAGTTAAGACCTTCATGTAGACGTTAAAGACCACCCATTTAGATGTTCGGAACATTTGTTTCGTTCCGTAGCTAAATAGCTGCCGTTTTCTCCCAAATCGTTCGGGGTCTGCGTTTAAAAATTTATCAAAATTTACCGCCTTATCCATTACTGCCAAATTAAGAAGCGTAGAATTCGGCGGAAGGGTGTATAAGGAAATGGAGCAGGCGGTGGTGAACTTTTCACCGACAGCCCACGAAAATCTATCTATCAGTGTCGATCATCCGCGTCGAGCCAAATAATCCATAAACGCACAAACACGCCGTGATTGATGTGTTTAGAACGAGACGATCACGACGTAATGTCAGAAATGTATTTTTAAGCACCTCCACCATAACTGTCTAACAGGAATATAACATAACTGTACTATCAAATGATTTCCATGTAGTTTCAGTCATTGACATTTTCCGTACATTTTTATCCTTCTTAGAAAAACAGGTAGGATATCATTCATATTCTATCTTTGTAAAGTTTTGTTGTGATCGCCATGATATATTATTATAAATCTGTGGATAAAAATACACAAATGTTTTCATGCGCTGCGGGAAGCTCGCTTTGAGTAGGTGTAAGGGAGGTATTACTGTATGTATATGTTGCATACGAGTATTGTTGTGATATGCGTCAAAAACACTTGTTTGTGTTATGCATTCGTCATTTCTAGTTTTGTACTTTGCACGGTATGGATTTTTATTGACAGTTATGTTTCCGTAAGTTAAGCGACATATTTATGTGAAAGCTAGCACCACGGTAGGGGGCGAATGTGCTCGACAGTCTATTGAAATATTCAGAGCTTTCAATGCATGTTCTACCAGCGTGGAGCTGCGTAGTGCGAAAGAATGAACTTAAAGCTCGATATACCTATTGTTATTACACAACGAATTCACCTTTTAACGAAATCGTTAAAATGATATCCTCCAATAAAAAGTGCATTTATCGAACAGAAAAGTAAAATGCTTCCTACCGTCGAGTCTCACTCAACTTCACCTAATTCTGAAGTAAAATATTTGCCAGCGCCAGTAGTTGCCCTCATAGCTATATAATATATCTGCAAGTTCGTTGCCTTTTTGGTTGTCGTGTTTCCATATAAATTCGTTGCGCACAGATCTGCGCTTCCCATTTCGATCAAAGTCGATATGCCCTATTTTACATCGCAACGCCCTGCCGACGATTTCAATGTGCCCGATTTTAAACGAATTTGTAAGCGATTGACATCGGCGACGTGGACGGAAAACTTGCAAGTTATCCGCATTCTGCTATCTTCAAGCATGTCGTACACAAAGGAACAAAGTTTAAAGACGCCTCTGGAATGGTAAAAATCTGAAATTTTGCCTCTTTTGAATCAGAAAATTGGAGCGGAGAACGTATTACAGTCGAAATTATCATGAAGATTACGAAATGTATAATTAATTCGTCTGCCTTGCCGCGTGCGTAATTATCTTATGCAATTAGGGTAGATATAAAGCGACGTGCGGGTCAATTACGAAGGCAGTACGAAGCATGAGTACACTTTTTGATATCGATGTAATGACCTTTCGGCCAAAAATCAATGGTGAGGGGCGGAGGCGAGTCAAACCCGGTGGCTCTGAGTATCAGCCATCAAACTATCCCACGCCAGAGAGGAGGTAGGTGTACGATAAAAATCCGTTGCGTCGTTTTAGTCCAGAGCGACGGACCCAAAGAGTTGCTAAAATGAATGACATAATAAATAATCGGGCGATCGTGGAGTGTGCAGCGTCATCCGTTTTTATGACTTTTACAACCCCGCACGAGCCGTCCTGCATCATGCACGCGTGCGCACAAAGTTTCCTCGCTCACTTTTTACTTTTGCTTTATGTTTAGCCCGTCAGATATTTTAAGCGCGCCCCATATGTTGCTAAACCGTTTTCTCATGTAGTCGTGTCATGCGGTAGAGGCGGTAGGATATTACGATCTAATGTTCCTCACGCGCGCGCTTGTGGTCGGTCGAAGGCGGCACTTATCTCCGAACTTCCATGTCCATCGAGCGACGCAACTATGAACCGTAACTTGCTTGTAGTACCCAAGTAGGGAAACAACTTACTCTAGTTTTATGAATGCAAATCAATAAATGAGAATATAAAGTGCTAGTTTTGCGTTAGACGTGCATGAAAACTTTGTGGATGGAGGGTTAACATGCATAATACGCTTGGAAGTTAATGCTGACTGACAGGAAACGCCTAGCATCGAAAACGATTGAGTAAGAAGGCGGCGGCAACCGATGCCGGAAAGCAAAACTGGAGATCTCACGGAACCGGAACCGAAATATCAATATTTCTGGAAAATTATTGCTTTTTGTTTGCTCTATTTTTGTGAGAACCACGACAGTGTGTTAACTCCCACATAACAAAATTGAAAAACAAGCACTTCTTAGTGTTACAATCAATAAAATCCAAAAGCACAATAGAAGATTTTCGGTTGTTCAGTGTAAAGAAAACAAGAAACCTCGAATTCTCACTACAAACAATGTCCCTTATGTAAGACTATGCGTCCATTCAACGAAATGATGACGATATGATGACGTCTATAGCGCATTCTACGTTTGGCACGCAACCAACTATACTGCTGTAGACGAACGACAGCAACAAAAAAAAACTCGACCGATCGCAGCGGTGGCTGTCATAAATATATTAGGGCGAGAAGACTCATGCGGATGTGGCTGAGCTTTGCGACTGAAAAACAGAGGAGGCAAAATGGCGACTAACGCTTACAAAAAGAAACATCAGACAAAATTTCACGAAATCATCCACGAATCTTCACAAAGTGAAAAATGTGCCTGCCACAATTACGCGCCACGTAATAAACGATACGGCGACGACGTATCAAACTTCCTCATCGCAAGGAAGTATAATACTCATAAATACATATGCCCCATCTTATGACACGACGAACGCAAACATCAAATACTCTAATCTAATATTAAACACCACATCCGATGCTTCCGACACGCCGAGAAACTTGTCCATTACGGCCCGGGAAACTTAGCCAACTATGAAATTATGAATTTGATTCGTCGCATTAAAATTTAAAAGTAACTACGAAGTAAAAATAAACAAATGTAATTTTTAAATAAGAAGTACCTAGTCAGATGCTTTTTTAATTAAAAATAATTCTCTGTTCCTAGGTCGTAAAGTAGATATCAGCAGTCTCGGAAACTCGAAGGAAAACTTTTGCTGTCAATGCTGACAATAAAGAAGAACAGAACGATGAGGCAATAAAAAGAAAGCAAAGCCATATCGTTATAGCGAGTTGAGTATACATTTACATTCTTGGAATTGCCGTGAAAATCACTGATTACCGTATTCTGGAAATGTCCTCGCCTTGCTTTAAATCTAACATAATAATTATTAATGCGTGGATATGATTATTTGAGTAAACACCATAAGCGACACACGAGCTGAATGTTAACGTCATTTTCGTGCAGGTATGCACAAAACAAGAAAATATCAAAATTAAATAAGAATGTGACAATATCATTAATAAAATTACGTAGTTTATCGTGCATTAACTCATTTAAACTCAGATTATTATCTATTCAAGTTGGTACAATGTAAGTAAACATGCATGAAATCAAATTGAGTCTTCGGTTTTCATTCCTTTAATGATAAAAGTTCGCTCTTGTAGTTTTTGTTTCTTAATTATCCTCCCCACTGTGTACCGTAGACAGTGTTCGACTCTTCTTTCTGATGGCAGCCTTCATGGCGATAATTAAAACAGTATCTGACAAAGTTTCAGTTTAATTTCCATAGAAAACTTTAACGAAACGTGACGTATTTTTTCGACGATGTGGAAGAATTGAGGAAATGGAGGAGAAGTGTGGAAACAAGTCGGTTAGACGAGCCTATGCCTACATCACTCTTTTGTGGCATGGCACCTCTCGACCTTTCCCACCTGCCTATTATGTCGGTTTTAATTGGAGCTCCGTTTCCGGACTGATGCGAGCCCCCAGCGCAAACATCCATCTCGTGTGTCGATTCAGCACGTTCTAAATGTGCATGGTAAATCCATGAACTTACCACAAATTTGTAGCGCGAACACGGGACTGGTCCTCACGTTTGCTTCCTGTAACAACAATTTGTTCATCATCAGTCGGATTGTCGAGCATATTGCGTTCATTTAATAATTAATACATCGGTATAAATACGTAATTATAAAGCCAACGTAATTAATCTATTGCATGACATATTCAAGTGAGACATGTGAGTATTAAATTATTTAAGACTAACTAATTGAGTGAAGAAGGTATTACGATATTCTTAAATATAAAAATTAATTAAAATATTCATAGCGTGCACGTGGTACAATAGTAAGAGAATAAATTACACGCAACTAAGTGAAAAGTTAAAAAAAATCCACGGTGTAATAAATGTTTCCGTGCACAAACTCAAGATATGAATATGCGAATATACGAAACGCGGCATGCCAACACACTTCATATTTCTATTTGAATGGACACGAATCTAATGTGATATGCCATAGAATATAACACATAACGCGGTGATTTATACAGGTTAGTACATAAGCGTAGATGTGAAATACGTGCAAATATTAAGCCCGAAGATGAAGCACCTCGCGCTGTTCAACCATACATTTTTAAGGAGGGTTTCATTCATCATCAACGCGCGCGAGGGCAGCTGGAATTCGTATGAATATCCTCAAATGGTAAACGAAATAGCTAGGTAAATGAAAATCGGGATTTATGATAGTCGCAAATGCTAATACTTGCAGGTCTCGGCATGCAAAGCGAACAGATGATCGTACATCGCATGAAACGGGACATTATTGACGGCGGTGGCAGCAGTGTGGAAGCCGAGGCAGGATGGAATCGTGAACAGACACGCACTCCGCGGCGGAAAAAAAGGAGGGTGAAACGAAAACGCGTGTTTGTGCACGCGTGTAATTGCCTGTACGCGGCGCGTCCCTGTGTTCCGGCGCTCGGGAGTGCGCGGACGGTTAGAATATCGATCGCTGCCGCCGTCGACGATTGTCGGCGTGCATGCGCCATGCCGATCCATCCGAACTCCAGTCTGGCGCTTTATCCACAAACCGAGGAGAACAATCATACCTCGTGCCGCACACTTATACGCAGCAAAGCTTCTCGCTCGGCAAACTCCAACAAACATCATATGAGCGCGAAAACACGAAGCGTCGCGCGCCCCGACCGCGATTACAATTAATGCAGCATTTAACAATTTAACGCAACAAATCGACACTACGCAGAATTTCATCACCGGCCAAAATACATAATACTCGCTACTGATATTGGTTAGTTGGCATCATCAAACAGCTCTCCGTGTGTGCGCACCGGAAAGTTCGAAACAACCATTCGCGTCGATTGACCCAGGCCGTGCATATCAATTCATTCATTACATGCCAAATAAAGCCTAAATCGAGGAAATATGCCACGCTCTGTTTGCAAACTAATACGTACATCAGTTAGTGCCAGCTATATTTAGCTAGCGCCAGCAGCAGTGGTAATAATTACAGTGACGTGGAAATAATTGAAACCAAGCGGAATGCTGTATGATGTGAGAGAGTGGCGATGACGCAGAAGTGAGATAATTTAATATGCGATGGTGGATTTTTTGCGCCACCATCTTTAATCCCAGTATTAGCGTGCGCCATCTCGCTCGAGGCGTTTATGAATTAATTCGTAATTTTCGCTGCCGCAGTGCAGATTGCGCACAGTGCTGCTGGGCAAGCAGATGCAGAAAATGTGGTGGGAAATGAAGGAAAAGGTGAAGGAGCGTCGTCGGATATGAATATATGCGCGCATAAAAAACACGCGAAAAGCCTATATTATAGCGCGAGAGGGGCGCTAGCGATATGCCAATAACAAAAAACGAAAATCGTGGAAAACATCAAAGCCGCATTTATGCGTTGGCTTCAATGTGAGATAGCAATCTTCTGAAACACGCTATATGATCCTTACACAACCACGAGGAGGATGTGAGTTACCATTTCATTCCAAAATATTCCCACTCAGTAAATATATTTAATAAAGATATCTCAGCACAATTTGTTGCAGCCAAATAATAAATAACATTCCAGCCTATAGGTACTACTTCCTCTGCACGAAAGTTTATTTCGACTTTTTGACTTGGAAAACTCCACTTCAAGATCTCCAATGGTTTACTAGCCTCTGTGACATCGACCTATCTATTGCTATTTTTGCAAGGATAACAAGTTAAATGAGTTAGGCATGCAAGTTGACGTCCACGTCACTTTTCATCAAATTACTGCCATCTAATTTCGTATAATTCGATAGAAACAAAGTTTTATTTTAAAGTAAGCGCAACTTTAATTGTTCGAATAAAATTGTCTCCAGGATAATTAGCCCGCAAAGCACTCACCTAATGTCTAATGTTTTAAGCGACTTGATAAACTGGAAGGCAGTCTGTATGATGCGAGTATAGATAAATATTTACCAAATGTCGGTGAAATATTACACGCATTCTGGAAAAACAGCTGCTAAGCTTGTTAACTGTGCATTATGCACCACACGAAGTAATACTTATCTACCACAAATTGATTTTTTTTTATAATTAAAGAGGGAGATTAGAATTAAAATTAGAGATGTAGCCAAATATTTGGACAGCGTAACTCTTTATATAAAAATATCAATTATCCTAACCTCCGGATGAGCAATTATCCGGTCGGTTTCCTCCAACCGACTTGTCTCTGACTATGAAAATTTACAGATATACGGGGAGCTACGGTGTAGCATTGAAATTGCAATTATAAGGAATTAGCTAGTATGCACTCGAAGTAGTTATCTCTGGAACCGATTTAGTTCAACTTTGTGTCACAGAACCGCGAAAAAAACTCGCCTAAAATGCACATAAAAGACTGTAGACAAAAATGAGATAAATTCACGTGAATTAACCGGCAACAAAAAAAAAACTGAGCTTGATGTGTAGCAGACTATTGGCTAACGCCAACGCCGTTCAGAAGAGTTCCACATGACTTGGGCCGATGGTAAACCAAGGCCACTAGATTATAATTCAGAATGACATACACGAACCGTGAAAAAGTCACACGACAGAATCTAAGTTTCGTAAATCTTCGTGTTTTGATAAAATTGAAACTGTGCTGGAACTTTTTCCACCTTCTTCCACCAACTTCCAGTTTCCAAACTTTCGGCAATGTATCCGAGTGTGTGGATTTAATCTGTTTTGGTTTCGATTAAAATATGAATGTGACGGGTTCCGATGCAAGGGTTGTGTAGTTATCGATAAACGCTGGCACATGTCGGGGGACGATTCATCGAATTGCGTCGAGTTATGTGGAGCGAAGTAATTTCCGCTAGACCGGAGTCCAAACAAGAATTATCCTGAATTATCCTCACCTAAGCGGACATTGACCAGCGGTCGTGAAATAAGCGCGATTGAATCAGAAACTCGCAAAATCATATTTACAACAGGTTTCAATATTAAAGGTGTCAGTCCACGAAAAACACTACATAAATGCTGACAGTGTGCAAAAATGGAAAGTGTAAAATCGTGCGTTGGCGCAAGAGCTTAAAACTAGGGAAAGTGTAACATAAAAGGGCTCATATATTTGTGCAGGGATTATCGTAAAATATAGGTTTCCTGAATCGATACCGGCAGATATCGGATGCTGAGCATAGAACAACACCCGATACGCACAGAAGGATTTCACCGGCAGAACGATTGCAATGGACGTCGAAAATAATAAACGTTTATTTGACTCAAATCCACACACACACAGACCAGCGTGATGTTTTGTTTGAATACTAAACGTGTGCATCATGTACGTTTCATCCGAATAGCGAAAAACAAAAGCCTTAATTAATTAGCTTCAATTAGTGCTCACGGTCTGCCCGACGCATCCATCCATTCTAGCTTAATATAATTTATCGATCCATTAGGTGACGCTAATGAATTTCGGCCAGCAGCCCCACTCGGCAAATAGATTTACGTCTCGAGCGCATAATTCGCAACAAACGCAAGCGCGCTCATAATGGCAAACAAAACCCTTTTGTGATCCGCGTCGAGCGGATGCCAAAACATGCGACCGTGACGCCTTCGTCCCGGCGTCCCTTTTCCTGCTTGACATCAAAACGGGCGTGCGCTAAACGCTTGGGCATCCATCACAAGAAGAAACGGGTTGCACCCGCCTTCGCGGTCCCAAATTTAGTTATCGCGCATCCACCCAACGCCTTCCGAGCAATATTATTTCCCCAAGAAGAACGTAGACGCTGCAATGATACGCGCTCGAATGCAATCCAGACCTTTAGTCCTTTCAAGGCGTTCGGTGAGCCCTTTTGCGCATTTCGGTTTGCTACGTTTCGTCCATTATCACGCGCACAGGCGCAAACGGGATGACATATCCTCTCTTCTCGTTGGTTCTTCCACTGTCGGTACCACCTGACATGCCATTCGCATGTCACTTTCAAGGGACTTTACGGCCTTGTTGCGCCCTTCCCTTGGAGATGTAAACAACAATTAAACCTAATGTCATGGAACGTAGGTTAAAAAAGAACCAATCGGTTGGTTGGAGCATTTAATGTCGAATGTTCATAATTAATTTAGGTATTGATAATTTCGTATCCCACGCCATGGTTAAACTCTGAGGACGAACGAACTTTATCGATTCACTCGAAAAATATTGCATCATATCGAAATCGCGTTTCCAAATCGGGAATTATTTCGACATTCTGGCGCGCATGGCACACGAACGGTAACATCGACTATATTTGCAATTCAATCAGACCTATTTATTTCAGACGGTGCAAAGCCTTGCACCGAGAATCAAGGAATTTCAGCTTCACTTCATTCAGCAGTTCTGATATGATTTAGTGGCGCGGGAAATAAATATACCTGATATTTCCGTTACCTGCAACAAGCGACGCTTTCATCTTTCGCCATCAAACGCTGCAAACTGATAAAAATATATAAGCTTTTGCTTGTTGAATGCATCCTTTGTACCTCGGTTGATGTATTTTTCATGCTGCTCAGATTTTATTTCTGTCCACAACATCGCAATGTTGAATAATGCAAAATTATGAATATATTTATTCCTGCCTCATTTTATTTACA